TCTTACAAGCTGCCTACTGCAGTCCCATTTGCCCTCTGTGTCTCGGGGTCCCCTGCCTCATGGCAATTTTGCTTATGCAGACTGTATCTTAATTAAAAGGGTAGGGAAGGAAGAACATTTCTGGCCTGAAGATTTCTATTCATTAAGTTTTCAAATGATCCAGTTACAAAAAAAAAAAAAAAAGAGTTGGGAGGAAAGCACATTACAACTCACTTTGTCCACTGAATTGTACATGAACAGTTTTTGCAATTCAGCACATCTAGATGACAGAATTTATTTTTCAAGCTTAAAACACTCACCCATCTTGTGTTGGTGGATATTCACATTCTTCTCCTTTTGGGAATATGTTGCTGGGAAATAGATCACATATTGGAATAGAAGGTGGATCTGTCTGGACCTTAGCTGTTGAGCATAATTTAAGAAAGTTTTACATATGGTACACTGGAAATACTAAGTATCTTATTTCAACCACAGAAGTTAAATGGCAGAAATTATTTAAGATCCTTTTATTAGAGTTTGGGTTTCTACCAAGACAACATCCTATCACAATGCTCTATGACTTTATTTGGCCAATACTCAGGGTGGCATTCACGGATACCAGAAAGAAGAAAACTCATCCACAGTCAGCATACAAACCCAAAATTTGTTTCAACTGCCAAGAGCAGCACTTACACATGCTTATACCAAATATTCACGGAATCTATCTTTATTTTATTTTTGTGCTTGATACCTACGTCCTTTCTTCTTTTTCTTCTTCTTCTTCTTTTTCCCTGCTGCTCCATCTCCTTCACCCTCTCCATCTACAGGAAAAAAATGTCCTTGGGTGAGCATAAAATAACCTTAAAGAACCAAAGAATTTTGAACGAGACACAAAACTATCTAGACTATATGGAAATAAGTCTTTCATGGCAGAATTTAATGGATTAAAAGAAGACAGCTAGAAGCTGCCAGCAAACCATTCATATTTTCAGACCCTATACCAAACCCAGACCTAAGAAAAGACTTTTTAAAGTTTTTGACCTAAACGTATCACTAAACAGATAAAAAAGCAGCTCAGGGAAAGATCTTTGAGAAAGCCCTACTTCAAATTTCTGTATTCTCAATTCATCCAGAAAGATGCCTGTTGGGGGCACATGAGAGACAACTGTATTGGACACAAGATATAACTAAAACCTAGGAACTACTGCTTCAAACATCTTCTGAATCTTCAGCTAAAAAACGTAATGGATCTGGAAGGATAAAAAAAAATCCAAGCAGGTTAAGCTGACAGGGAAGGTCAAAACCACCACTGAGCACAACCACTGCCTGTGGGACGTACCAGCAGCAGGTCTGCAGAGCGCTCAGCACATAAGCACTAAGAACTGGCCACACCATGTTAGTCACATCTGGGAGTTAACAATAACTTCACATTTGGCTACATCTAACGCTTAGTTACTTCCTACACAATGAAGTATTCACCTAATGTGATAACATATAACTAAGCCTTCTTAATATAACCACAAGTTCATTTCAAAATGGGTAATTACTAGTAATCTACATTTACAACACTTATTTTTACCTAAAGCGAAAAGGAAAATTGGAAGAACTTTTACAATCCAGTCAAAGCACTGCCATTCTGAATGCATTTATACAGAAACTTGTATTTACTCATTTTAAAACTAAACCAAACCAAAACACTGACTGGTTGTTTCAGTGACTGCACTTCAAGCCTCTGATGATGGTCTGGGTCATCCTCATTTTTATGCTGCAGTAACTGCTGAACTCCTGAAGCTGGGGCAAATTTCAGTAGTGTGTCACCCCACCCCTCCTCAGCTCATTTTGGCATTTGTAAAACAATTTTAACTTGTACTACTAGCATAACTACAATGTAGTCCAGCCTACCAGATTCTCTACCAATCCATATTTCATAGGCTGCCAAAAATCCTTAGCAGTGCATATAAATTTCTTTAAAATGCAGGAACTTTTGCACATTTCTCTTGACCTTGAGTTGTGCTCAAACCATTCATCAAGAAATTATTTAGATGTGACTCCAGCTCATTCACCAAGTGATTTCTGCCATTTAAAAAAAAAAAAACCAAACCATTAGGCCTAAACTGCACAAGAAGTCCAGCACTTGTTAAATGTTGTTGCTGCTGCTGTCTGCTTATTGTGGCTTTTCATACCTCGCTGCACGTGAAGCTGCCAGCTGCCAGCCAAGCCAGCCGGGCCTACGCTCCCGTGTCCTTGAGGACTGCTGCAGACTAACTGTGCTGCCAGAACAGAACTACTGCATCTGACCAATATCCTGCTGCTCTTCAGCTTATGGAGCTGGTAAGGAGAACAATTTTCACCAGAAAAGCAATTTAGTGGCTTTGCAAAACTGAAGCTCAGCGTTATGCCATTTTGGCATAGCTGTTTAATAACTTAGCCTAAGAACGTACAAAAAACTTACCTATCAGCGTGTTTTAACACTGCAGTGGAGATCTGAAGAACACTTCCTAATCTCTCCTAGATTTCAGAATGTAGTAACTCAGTCATGGGCTTACCAAGGGGGGGAGGTGTAGATATTTTGTTTGGTTTAATCTAACGCAGCACCATGTCTTAAGCAACACCTCTGAAAATACACAGCTAAGATGGCAAGTGGTGAGAACCAGTACAAGTAAGAGCACATAGTTGCCTTCACAAAAGCCAGCAATTTTAGTTTTTCTCCAAAAATTATTGTTTTTCTAAAAGACACATCCAAGTCTAATATGTGGGGAAATGTAAGTTTTTTTTTTTACACTAGTACTCTAATACTAATTGCTTACACTGTAAAAAGCAAACAAGCACACAGCACTTGATCCTTGATCTGCAACTAATGTTACTGCTCCTGAGACAGAACTATAACTACTCTAGTAATTTTCAATTTTTTTCCCTGTATAAAGTTTTCACTATCCTCCTCCATACTTGTTACCTTAGTTGTAACAATAGCAAAGCACATATTGTATTAAGTATCTTTCAACTCTGTGACCTGAAATATACTGTAAAACAAATACATTAGAATACACTTCTACAGAAAATAATTGCATAAAACTGAAAGCTGTATGTAGACTAGTAATGTTCAAAGATTAAATTATTTGTAGTTTTATATATCCCAGCACACATTTCATTTTTTGAAACTTCTACATCTAATTTATTAAATTAAATTCTGGAATAGTGAATGCCAGCAATAGTCAACTAAGATTTCTAAGCAGAAGAGTAAAAACCATTTTAGGTTGCTGAGCCAACTTCGCATGCTAATTCACAAGAAGGAAACTAAATTACTAACTTGAGAAATGTATTTTCTTGAACATCCATTTCTACAGAGAGCCACTCATCAAAACAAAGACTGCATTTTTATCTGATATTCCTACAGACAAGATGCATCCAGCCTGGATTTCACTTCTGAGGCATGTGCTTAGAACACCCGCTGCACAGCACAAGCAATACGTGAGGTGGATGCCTTTCTGTGTATTAATCTTTGCCCAGGTCAGTTTTAATGAAAAATTAGGGTTACAGGTGAACACGTTTAAAATAGTTGGTAAAGACCCCAAGACTTTCTATTAATTAAAATGCTTCCTTAAAATTTTCCCTGTATTTCTTGTTCTAAACCAAGAATAAGAGACGTAATTCGGAACATATATTTATACTGTGCACGACAATGCAAGTAGGAATAACTTACAGCTTACCTTAACCAAGCACTTCCCTGCACTAACAAGAACTTTGAAGACAAGCTTTAAGAAACGTGTTATCCATATTATTTTTTTATATATATGCATGTGTGACGTGCCAAAGAAGTAAAAAGTATACATAGCTGCATTTCAGCTCTCCCAACAAAACAAAAAAAACACCCAAAAGGCACCTCTAAAGGTTTTTTAAAATATGAGTGTAGGAAGAAGTCAAAACTGGAAACGATAAAATGTTAAGTTACACTTGCCTTCATCATCATCATCTTTTTCTTTCTCCTCCAGTGCTTGCTTATCCAATTGTCTTGCTACATCATCAAGTCCACCTTCCACTTCTTTATCTGTTTCTTGTCCTGTTTGTAAAATTAAAGTATGACTTACAGTAAAAGGACAGCTCCACATTAGTGAACAATACTGCACAAAACTTTATAAAAAAGCTGCTGCACTCAGCCTACAGATACCAGAGCACATGGAGCCTTTTCTTTTTTTTTTAAAGCAGGCTCAGTGTCTAAGACTCTAGGACACTACAGTGACAGGTATTGTTACTGAAACTTGCATATAAAGGTAGCATTATCCAGACACTTCTGCTTACATTTTTTTTCTGCCAAGGCAAACTAATTCTTGCCACAGCAGCAGCCTGCTCTTGTGAGATAATATGGGCGTGAAGGAGATAATTATAAACGCCCAGCACAATCATCCACTAACTGTTAGCCTGCTAAAACAAACCCAAACCGTAGCTCCTTTACACTATTTGCCCAGACTTGCTCCGACTCTCTCAGAGCACCTGGGAGGGGTACAGAGGCTCCATCACGAGGGATGACTTTCACAGCAGCAGATGCACGCCTTTCACCCCTCGGGGCACAGAAGGGGCTGAGAGAAGGGGTGGCTTCTGCTGCACGCACCGGGGCAGGGAGGGCTTCCCTCGCCCCGGCTTCCCCGGAGCCGAACGGCGGCG